TGACCTCCTGGCTGGCTTTCATATATATCAGGCATGCTCTTACCTCAGGTCTTTCGCACTTGCCTTTCATTCCTTGTGCCTGGAATTCTCTAACCCCTATTATCTGCATAGCTTTTGCCTTCAACTCCTTCAGGCCTTTTCTCAGATGTCTCTTTATCAGCTCTTCTCTGACCATATTTTTTTTTACAATTGCAATACCCTGCCCACCTCCATTCACTATCCCCTATTCCTGATTTATTTTTCTCAGTATCATTTATTGCCATCTGGCATTCTTATATATGTGTGTATATATATATATATAAAATATTTAAATATATATATATTACTTCTTTGCTTATTATCTGCTTCCCCATCCCCACTAAACTGTTGTCTGTTTTTCTCACTGCAGAATCCTTTGTCAGCAGACCTGTTCTATACCTGGATGCCTGGATGAGATGCCCTTGAGGATAATGCCTGACCTTTCTTGACCATCAAAACACTTTGTCAGCAGAAGTTAGGAGAAGTGGAGGTATGGATCTCATGCTACATATATTCTATTTACTGGAAAGAAATAGCCCTTCTCACACATTCACATACTGGACTTCGTGTTTGCATAGCCTCTTGTTGAGTCGGAAACTCATTTCTTGTGAGCCTCGTCCCTGTGAGCATCTTGACATGGTTGAGTTTCTGGGCCAACATTGCTGAGGACCTGGACCCTGAAGAGCACCTTGGGACACTCTGCCTGGGAAGCCAGCTGCCTGCCCTCAAATATATATACACATATATGTGTGTGTGTGTGTGTGTGTGTGTGTGTATATATGTATATATATATAAAATGGTTCTTAAATCCAGCTTTGGTAAGGTATATTAGAGCACATTTCTTTTTCATCTTGTCCCTAGCTTCTTAAGTGTAACTACAAATTAGCCCCAACAAATGAGGCGTATGATCTATTTATAAGACATATTTGATTCTCTTGTGTGATGGGCAGTCTCGGTTTTAGTCTAAGCAGATTTCAGACATATCCAGTGATGTATGAACTGGTGGGATGGAATCAGCAAAAGTCTATTTGTTTAGTGCTGAGGAGCTTCCTGAGGAGGAACTTAGGTTGAGGGAACAGTGATCCAGGCACAGAGAGTCTGGGGAGACAATGAAATCTTAGCATCTTAAGGGGGAAATTCTGAGAACATCGTGGTGTCTGTCTCTTGTGTTTGTCTCCCTCTTGCATTTGTCTCCCTCTCTTGAGCTTGCCAGACTTATCTCAAGGAAAGCCAGACTGAGGTCTTTAAGTCAAAACTGAAAAATAGTTTCATTAAAGTCTGCTTTAAACACTGGGACTCAAGAAATTCTCATGGAGGAGAAACATTCTTTCTCACTTTACAAGAAACATGAGAGTCTTGACACTGCTGGGTTTCCAGTGACTTGGTGGAGGAGCTGGTAGGAGAGTGGGGGCACGCAGAGAAGTCAGGTGGCAGGGTCCCCCAGGAGGGCTGGAGGCTGAGCAGGGACATGCTGTTCCTGGTAGACACAGAGTGGGAGGGAGAAGAACCACACCGCCCTATGAGAGCATACTTGTACCCAGCTACATGAGATACCCCTTGAGGACTACAGGACATTGGAAGGGCATTTTGCAAGAGCTGAGACCCTTCATGACAGGTTGGCACAGGAATAAGTGGAACTTGGGTGTTTTTAAGGCAATTCTATTTCTACCCAAATATGCCCACCTGAGAGGTAGCATAGCACTGCGCCAAACTCTGGTAGAAGGTTGCTGAGGTATGAAGTCCTGCTCCACCAGTTTACAAATGATCTGGCTGGGGACTATTACTGAACATTTCCAGGTCTTGGTTTCTCCATCTTTAAAATGGGTATGATGATGACGATGATTCTTTCTTCTTAGGGTCATACGATGATTTTATTAGTTAATTCATATGAAACATTTAGAATGAAGCCTAGCATATAATGAATTATATATTAATGCTATTAATTTTACATAAGTTTTGCTTTAAAAATGAGTTGTAGAGTACCCATAACAGTAATTATCACTTAATGTATGTTAGTTGCCATTCTTTCATGATGAACAAGCAAGTACTACATACTTTAAATTATTAAAAATGACAGACATTTGTTGTTTAATAGATTTTTAAAATTATTAAAAACAACAGAGAAAAAGAAGCACCATCATTCTCACAAATGAATTTGTCTATACTGAGCCTGATCCCAATTTATAAAGTATCTGCAGGAAGAAAGGAAATCAAAATCCTGAAACTATGAAAGAAGGACCCTTTCCCTTACTTCATATCAGAGAGTGGAACATTTCCAAAAATTCACAGAAAGCTTTTTTTTAGAACAGACCATTCAATTCTGAGAAGAAGGTTCTTAAAATTGTCTATAGTGTGTCCCTGAGCATCCTGAAGATTTTAAATAAGTTGTCACAGCAGCTCCACCCAGAGGCTGTTTCATCAAACCACAAAGTGACACTCCCAGCCCCCAAGTGTCCTGTGGAGAGCAGAAAGATGGCGGCTGGAGCGCTCACCCAGCGGGAATCGTTGCCCGCATCTGCTATGCTGTTTAGAATTTCTGGAGAGAAACACAGCATACTCCTGGCATGCTTCTGATGCAAAGGTGGGGATTTTAAGCTGCTGTAGCTTGTTAGACTTCTTTCTACCTTAAAGGCAAGGAATCTCTGTTAAGGTCATAAAGATCCCCCCTCCGCCCCCGAAAAAAAAACAATATATTTTCAGGGGATATATTTTAGGGCATTTTATTCATACAGATGAAAAGAAAGGTGATTCCACCATGTGGCCTAAAAGGTATGTGATATTTCTGTGCAAATTGTCAAAAAATATGATGTTACCCAAAACATTATTTGTAAGAAGCGATGGCTGTGGGAAGAATAATAATAATAAAGCCTAAGACATAATTTTGAGAAAATTGAAGGCTAAGGCTGAGAAATAAATTGTTACTGGGATTATGCTAGTGTATCAGAACTGCCTCTATGACCCTATGACTCCTGAAACCTGAGAGCTTCAGGCAACAGAGGCCAGAGACTCAGAACAACACTTGGGGACCTTTCTTTATGAAAGTGAAATCTACTTCCAGGGGGCCTCTTTCTCACCTCCTATTCATTCTCCATCTTTAGCAATCAGACCGTGGAATTCCGACTCACTGAGGTGACCTAAAACATCCCAATGGCCAAATCCAAAGGCCTCTTTTCCCACTGTTATATTACTAGATTCTGTCCAGCATTTTTCATTATTGATGCCTCTCTCCCCTGTCTTTGCTTGGGCTGCTATAACAAATATACCATTGACTTGTTGGTTTAAACAAGAAATTTATTTCACAAAGTTCTGGAGACTGCCAAGTCCAAGATCAAGGTATTGGCAGATCCAGTGTCTGGCGAGGGCCCCCTTCCTGGTTTGAAGATGTCTGTCTTCTTGTTTTATCCTCACATGGGGGAGAGCAGAAAGAGATGAAGCACGCTCTTGTGCATCTCTTCTTATAAAAGAACTAATCCCATCCAAGAGGGCTCCACCCTCAGAACCTAATTATCTCCCTAAGGACCCACTCCAAATATCATCACATTGGAGATCAAGCATCAACACATGAATTTGGTAGGGGTACAAACATTCAGTCCACAGCAAAACCTAATCCCTTTCCCCACAGCTGCCATGTCTGTCCTGGTTCTCCTCCTCCCCTTATGCCAGGCTCCTTTCAGCCTCTTTCTTTGGTTCTTCTGTCTTCCCTTTTCTCTTTTTCCTCTAAAAATAGGTTCTTTTGGGTTGCAACTCTCACCTTTATCTGCTACTTCCCAGACCACCCCATCCCAGGCTTGATTCTTAATTCCTGGACATCTGCAGCTGGATATTCCACAGGTAAATTGACAGGCACACACTAAATTCATCTTCAACCTCTCACACCCTCCTCAAATGTGCTACTGCTCTGATAGTTCTCTTTTTTGGTCTTTGGAAATACTGTGCTTTGCAATGACTTTGCTGAATGTACCCCCTGGTGGCCAAGAGAAGGAATCACTGCAGCCACACTTGACGAAAATTTTTCTACCCGGGGCTTCCATGCATTATGAGGTCATTGTCATAGAAGCCAGAACAAAAAGAGTCCAACTGCTTTTATCCCTTCTCGGGAAAAGGAATTTTCATTCTCCACTCTCTCTATTATTCTGTGTCCTATGTGTCAGAAAATTTATAAAAATAAAAATAAAAAATAAAGGGCCTGACTTTTCTCCTGATAAAGTATCAAAATGGCAAACTATAAAAGTTTCCCCACCTCATCTTCTGCCTGCTCTCCTCACAACTGTGTTTTCCACATGGAACAAGATGCCACTCATATATGCCAATGGATGTCATGGACAAACAAGGAACACGGAAAGCTCAGAACTTCTCGATGCTCATTGGCACTAGAACATAGTGATATACTTGCTATTTTTCAGAAGTGGGATCTTGTGAATGAGACCACAATTTGGCACAGAAAGTAGTCATTGCCACTAAATTATCCACTTGAGATGGAAACTTGTATTCTGGTGACTGGAAATATTCCAGTGTTGCTTTGAGCAAAAGGGACAATGACCACATACCATGAAGCTCCATGTGATGGCTTTTTTGATATGTCAGCTTGGCTAGGTGACAACCCACAGTTATTAAATCAGACACTAATCTAATTGTTGCGGTAATGAAATTTTGCAGAAGTAAGTAAAGTTCCTAATCATTTGACTCTAGGTAAAGAAGATCATCTTGAATAATCTGGGTGAACCTGACTTGATTAGTTTGAAGGCCCTAAAAGCAGGGCTGAGGCTTCCCCAAAAGAGAGAAGAAATTCTGCCTGTGAAGAACAGCTTCAGCCCATGCTGTGGAATTCCAGTGTTTCTATGATTTTCCCTTTCTGACCGCCTGGCCTGTAGATTTACCTGCTTAGTCAGCCCCCAGAATTGCGTAAGCCAATTCTGGTGTATCAGTTTGTTAGGGCTGCCATGACAAAGTATTACAAACTAGGTGGCTTAGAACAACAGAAATTTATTGTCTCATAATTCTGGAGGCTAGAAGTCCAAGATCAAGGTGTCGGCAGGGTTGACTCTGTCTGAGGGCTCTGATGAGGAGTCTGCTCCAAGCCTCTCCTCTAGCTTCTGGTGGTTTACTGGCAGTTAATGGTGCCCCTTGGCCTGTAGATGATGTATTGCCCCAACCTCTGCCTTCATCATTACACAATCTTCTCCCTGTGTGTGTTTGTCTCTCTGCTTCCAATTTTCTCCTTTTAATAAGGACACTAGTCATATTGGATTAGGGCCCAGGCTAATAAACCTCATTTTAACTGATTAACTCTGTAACAACCCTGTCTCTAAATAAGGTCACATTCTGGGGTACTGGAGGTTAGGACTCCAGTATATTTTAGAGGAAGATGTAATTAAATCTATATCACCTGCTTCTCCAGTTGAACCCTGGATTATACTCTGTGTGTATCACTTGGTACCCAAAACAGCTTACCAGAAACATTGGTTTGTCCATTTGGCACATCTCATGTCTCCAGAAACATTGATTCATCCTCTGATATGGAGATGTTTAAATCTGGGTATATTGGGTATAAGTATGATACAATTACTCAGCTCCCACAAAGATGGCCAAGGTTGAAGATTTATCAGAAAATGATTTATGACGCTATTGTTAGAATTCTGGGGCACCTCAGTCAGCTAGACTCTGTAGGTATTTCAAATGAAGAGTGGGGCATTTTAACTATAACTTGGCTTTGCCATCTGCAGCTGCTTAATACTGACAAGAATGAACAACTTGGAAAGCAGGTAACTGACTTTGTGGGGTTTGGAAAGAAGAATCATGGGTGTGAGAATGTGTAAGGAAGCTGATTAGGTAGTTCAGATGTCCAGGGTCTGGAACTGGTGAAGATACTTCATATTTCTATGTCTCTGTTATGTATTACACACTTGCTTGTGGCCAAGTGTATCTTACTTGATTTAATCCTCACTGCATTCTTATTAGGGATGCATTGTTTTCCCTTAGTAGGGTTGAAATAAATGAGTCTTAGATGTCTCTTTCTTAAGATTACACATCTAGTGATGATCGGCCAGGATTCAGACATACAGTCACTCGTTCTTTGCGAACTCCATATATGTGAATTCACCTACTCACTAAAAATTATTTACAGCTCCAGAAGTGATACTTATGTTGTTCTCAGGATCATTCATAGGCTTGTGAAGAGTGACAAAAAATACACGTTGTTAGACACACATGTTTCCAGATGAGGTAAAACAAGGCAATGTTTTGCCTTTTTGCTTCAGCCCTCATCCTATAAACAAGTGTCCTTTTCATGGTCTATTTAGTAGCACTTTTTTTTTTTCAAATCTGTTCTTTTTATTGGTGACCTCAATGTTTAAAATGGCCCCAAGCATAGTGCTGAAGTGCCATCTAGTGTTCCTAAGTGCAAAAGTCTGTGATGTGCCTCACATAGAAAACACACGTGTTAGATCTAAGCTTTGTTCAGACATGAGTCACAGTGCTGTTGGTCATGAATTTAATGGCCATGAATTCATTGTAATGAACCAACAATATATATTAAATAAGATGTCTTTAAACAGAAACACACATAAAACAAGTTTATGTACTGATCAGCTGATGAAAATGTACCTTGCAGGCACCTAACCCTGTACATTTCCTAGGAGCGATGGCTGAGTATTCTCTTGTTCAGTGTCCATGGTGGCTTGATAGGATGTAATTATTGAAGATAGTGAGAATTGACTGTCTCCGTGTTAGGCTCTAAAGACTGCCCTCTAATTCATATCACAAGGATTAGAACTGGGAACCAAAGAGTTGGTGACTCTATCTTCTTACCTGCTTTAGGAATGAAGGAGACTGTAGCCTGAAAGCCCCTGAAGGTCCTATTTTCATCCGATTGGAAGCTGATGAGCATGATGCTGGAGGGGCTCAGCACAGGGGTGGGGACATCATAGCCACACACCCGAGCTTGTTGAAGGCCAGCCCAGGCAAGACATTGTCCAGCACCCAGCAGATATCCATGGCATTGGAGAGAAGAAAAAAGAAAATTGTCCTTCAGGTAATTGTTGAGAAATACGCTTTTCACAATTCATTTTCAAAATGAAGGCGGCTCACTCCTTAAACAGGTAATTAACACCAAGACATTTCAATTTGGTTTTCTCTCCCGAACACTCCCATACTCAATGATGTTAAGGGAACTGGTTCTAGCCTCAGGACTTGTTTCAATGGAACTTCCCCCTTCTGACTCCTAGTTCCCTCATGGGCCTTTCACATTTCTGTTTCAGTGGTTCTTTGATTCTCCCTCTTTCTATTCCTGCCCCCATAATGAAGAACACAAAGGAGTGATGGTGAGACCACAGGGAGGGGTGGAGGTGGTGCAGGAAGATGAAGGAAGATTGATCCGTCTCCTTTTCGTTCCCATCTCAAGACTGGGTCCAAAGGCAAACCAGAGCGAGCTGAGGCTCAGGGGCCACAAACCTAACCTATTTCCTTCTTCCTTTCTACATCACTGTGCACTGTCACATAGTCGGAAGTGCAGTCTCCACTTTCTTCTATTTCCAGACTCTGAAATGAAAGCTGAGAAGACGCGAAGTTACATGCAGAGTAAACAATCTGAATGAATTACTTGACTTTGATTCAGCAGAGAAATTTGAATTGCTCAACTTGTTCTAGAGTAAGACCTTAGATGAGAAAGTTAATGGGGTATTCAGGAGTGGGTCAGATTACCAACAAAAGGATTCTATATCATAGGCTGTCTAACTTTTTGAAATAGCTACCAGATATGGCCTGAATCAAAGGGCAGGAAACTGTGCAAATATTTTAGCTTCCTAGCGACTCTAAGAGATTAAAAGAGCTACCGCATGGGGATTTTTTTCCCTGGAAGCAACTAGACACTCAACTCAACTAATTGCATATACACAAAACTGCTTCTCTGGACATCTTAGTGTTGTTCACCTGGTTCCTGATGTTTCATCTTGAACCCCTAGTTCTCCTGAATCAAGACTAAAATTTGTTGTGCCCCTTGGAGACCATGTCTTTCTACCCAGCAGGATATATCTGGCTATTCTTCTCACCTACTCTGTCCTGTTGCCACTAAATTTCCATGCCTCACAGCAAAATTCTGATAAGGCACAGATATGAGTGAGTCTAATTGCTGATATAAAACAAAGTATCATCTGAGCTACTGAAAGCATTTGCATAAGTGGGCTCAGAGTCAAATGTAGCAATCCTCATGAATGTGCATGAAAAAGGAAATCCTTGTATGAGTTAGAGAGAGTTGATTTAGAGTTGATTTAGTTAGAGAGTTGATACTAAGCTTAAATGTAAACCTCAGCAAAATTCTCAAGTAGATTATTAGGCTATGATGAGTAATGACCTAGAAAACAAAGGTGATCACCTGGAATCAACCTAGGTTCACCAAGAATAAATAATGACAAACTTTTCCTCATAGTTTCTATAATCGTGATGCTTATTGGTAGCATAATATTTCATTTATCTCTATCCTTGACACCTGCATTTTTTGCTATCTTAAAAACTTGGCAGTGAATATCTTTATGCATTTACTTTTTTTCTTCTCTTGTATAATTCCCTGCATGGGACACTTGTTTTGTGTCAGGAAAAGGGAGAACTATCTAGACAGAAGGAACAGTGTGAAGGAGAAACAAAGAAACAATAAAGAGTGATCTTGGAGCAGTTTAGTGAGCACTAGCCAATTGAATTTGAAGTGAAGAGTGCTGGGAGAGAGGGCAGATGAAATAGGAGTTCCAGTTTTAACACACAGTTTGGTGGGGATTCAATGGGACCTGGACTCTGAGTGAGATGCAGAAAGGACTGTGTGGATAAAACAAAACTGGAGGCAAATAATTACTAATGGTGAAGGTAGGCTTGGGGAGGGGGACATGTATCAGAAATAGGATTCATTCAAACATTTATTAAACCCTTACTGGGATACTTTCTGGGAAGGGGCCCTTTTCTCTCCAAGTCAAATGATGAGCATATTGCTATGACTTGTAACACCAATTTCCAAATTACTGTCTTAGATGAGTTCTGCAAAATGACGCTGTCACTGGCAGGGTATGAGAACATCACTTCACTGATGCACAACACTCAGCCTTTATTTATTGAAGAGATATTTTTCAATCACTTCTGGCTCTGGCATTTTCAGATTTTCAACTAAATTTCCTCTTCTTCCTCCACCTGGAAACATGCTCACAACCTAAATTTTATCCTCCATCACTAACAAATTTTCCTTAATTCTGCTGAAATTTTTGTCCCAACTCTGTTTAGGTTTGAGGAACTTTTAGAAAGAAATCTATACCAACTGCCTCCATATCATCTTTCCCCACTCATTCATAAAACCTGTGTGATCTTCTTTCTGCCATTAACATCTGACTTAACATGATATTTCAGATACCACCAATCCAAACTCCTCTCAATTGTTCAATTTCCAGTCTAATTATTCTCCCTTTTTATGGAGGTGTGTGGTGGGGACTGGACACCTTAGTTCTCATCTGTTTAAGTTCTAACTTAGTGTGGTATCCAAATGATTGGTCACATCTTTTTGTTTGGTTTGTGTTTTAAGTTAAAGGCTGCATTCTCCAGGCTGTCACAAGAACACACCAATTTGGTTCTCCCACATCTCAGAGCTCTTTCCATCTCTTAAGTACATGAGAACGCTGGGGTCTCATCATCCCTCACTCCTCTCCCCTTTATTTTCTACTCTCCTTTCTCTCCATCTTACACTGTCTTGTTTTCAATTATTATTTTAAGAGAAAGACCTGTAAGAAAACGCCTCATTCCAATCTCACCCTGACTGCAGTCTTTCTTCTACCTCCCTGATGATATCTCTCTGCAGATGATCCATTAGTGTTTAATGGACAAACAAGTAACCACAAACACTGCTAATCAAATGTGGAATAAACTCCATTTCCAGACGTTCAAAGGCCTCCATACATTGACTTCCACCTTGCCTTCCACTGCCCACTCCAGGACACCTTAAGACCCTCTTAAACCAGCGATTCCCTGAGCCTGATCTGCACTGGTTCCTCTAGGCTTACTCTGTCCTCTCTGCTTGAAAGGCTTGGTGATTTTGGCCTGATTGTCCTTGACTTTTGTTATCTATAACTTACAATGTGTTTGTGAGCAGTTTAATAAATAAGGAAGAAATGCTTGTTTCTGGAATAGACTAAGAAAATCACCAACACAAAGATTTCCTTTTTTTTTTTTTTTTTTAAGAGTTTCACTCTTGTAGCCCAGGCTGGAGTGCAGTGGCACAATCTCGGCTCACTGCAACCTCCGTCTCCCAGGTTCAAGCAATTCTCCTGCCTCAGCCTCCCGAGTAGCTGGGACTACAGGTGCCCGCCACTATGCCCGGCTAATTCAATGCAAAGATTAAAGCAGCACTTTTTTTTTTTTTTTTTTTAAACAAAAAGTAAAGAGCACAGTGTCATCTAGTGGAAAAATGTGTAGTTGCAGGGGAAACTGGGCGGATCCATCATTCAGCAAGTATTTATTGACAGCTTTGTGTGTCAGGTGCCAGGTTCTAGGTACTGCAAATACAGCAGTGAATAAATCAGATAAAACCTCTGACCTCATGGTGCTTATGTTAGCTGTTTTGTGAATTTACCATAGCTAAGTAAGTACAGCCAAAGTCAATACCTTAATTAGGTGATGTTTGGGAGCTTGAAAAATCCAGTCACAGTTAGCCATGTCACTGTAGTTTTCAGGATAGTTTAGACTCTGTATGAGGCCTTCTTCAAAAAGGACAGTTAAGTAACTGCAACCTGAATCTGAAACATAAGAAAAAGTCCAAACAGATGGCACTATTCAAATAAAGAAGAATTCTCACTGCTCTCCCTCCTGTCTCCTGAAAATGATGCATACCAATTGCATTTTCAGACACTGCCAACAAGAAAAGAGATAGTGCCTGATTCTCCAGAACTCTTCAGGCCCTCTCGACTCACTTGGATGGCAATCACTACGAGCTAGCAGGGTGAACTCAGGGTTGAGGGGGAGACTGCCCCCTGTTCCCTAGTTGGCCTGTGTCCCTCTCCCATGTGGAGCCAGCTGAGCCTTGGGAGAGGCATCCGTGCCTCTCACCTAATTCCTATGGGGCCTAAGCTTCTACAGAAGGTGGGGATAGTACGTAGTTAAAAGTAAATGGTTTTACCAGGAATGTAGTTTGGTTTAAGAGCTTTATAGGTAAGATTAAACCCAGCTGCATAATCTGTGGCATCAGAGACGAATTTCAGCCTTAGAGAATTAGAGCCAACAAGAATGGATGAAGGGAGGCTTTCTGCACAAAATTTTCCTGCAGGATGAGAAAAAAAGATTCTTTGTTCAGAATCTAGAAAATAGTCCCCCTTCAGTGATTTAAGAAGAACTGAATTTGCCGTGATATTTCAGGAGTCCAATCCTAAGTTTCTCAGTCTTGTCACAGTTGACATTTTGAGCCAGAACCTTCTTTGTGTTCTTGCTATCCTGCATCTTTTGTAGGATATTTGGTAGCATTCCTGGCCTCTACCAGTGACAATTCCTGCACTTGTGACAACTGAAAAATGCTTCTCAGTCATTGCCAAATGTGTCCATCACCTCCAGCTGAGAAACCACAGAAACGCCATTCCATTTCTGTTTCTTATAAGTAACCTGTCTCCTTCTCATGGTTGTCTATTTGTATTTCCCTTCTTAGCTTGATGAGGCAGGGAAAGGTCATTTTCACAGCTAGGAAAGCAGTGACCTGTCTGGAGATCCTGAGAGGCCCTGACTATATGTAGAGTTTATTCCTCATGGACACCAGGTCTGGCACATGAGCCTAGGAAGCCTGGTTTGATGGGAAGCAGATTTGCCCTGTGACCTTGCAGCCATCATCCAGGCTCAGATTTGGTTCCTTCCCACTCCCAATTCTGAGTCTCAAAGCTGAAGTCAGAAAGTGCGGCATTTACAGATGGCTCAGTGCCAGACATGAGATAACGAGGCCTCATTAAGCCCACTTGGCACCAGTTTCCATTTGACACTGTGAAAATCCACTCACCGATGGGTCTGTCTTCTAAAGAATACATTGACAAGTAATTGTGGTGACAAGACTCAACATCTAGGTGGGAAAAACTGAGCAACACATGCATTTCCTCTGGTACCAGCAGGGTCCAGACACACCATCTGTAGGCAGATCATGGAGAGGGTGTTATTTCTAGACAGAAAATGACTATCACAGTCCAATTAGTGGGCACAGCCAGACTGGAGGTGGGAGTAAGGAGGAGGAGTGCAAAGGGGGTTACTCACTGTTTGCTCTCATAATATAGGTGGAGGCTTTCTGGGAAGTGCAGCTCCCCCTCAGCCCCGCTGACTGTGACATCCTGCTCACTGCACCTGGCTGGGAGGAAAAGCCAGGAGAGTCAGGGTTAGCTGTGCCAGCTAACCACAACAGCCCCTCCCTCTAGAAGCTGCAAACACCATAGCCTCCTGGTTCTTCTTGATGTACTCTTTGTTCTTCATGAAATCTTCTCCTGTCTTTGCTTCCATGATGCCTTTTTGATTCCTTTTAGATCCTGCTTAACCTTGAAATTCTATGATTGGTTTTCTTTCCTTAACTCTTCTTTCTTTTTATTTTATTTTTGAGGCAGGGCCTCAGTCTCTCACCTAGGGTGGAGTGCAGTGGCACGATCACAGCTCACTGCAACCTCAACCTCCCAGGCTCAGGCAGTCCTCCTGCTTCAGCTTCTCGAGTAGCTGAGACCACAGACTCACACCACCACACCCGGCTAATTTTTTTGAAGAAATTATTCGTGAGATGGAGTCTCACTTTGTTGCCTAGGCTGGGTCTTGAACTCCTGGACTCAAGCGATCCTCCCACCTGGGCCTCCCAAATTGCTGTGATTACAGGCATGAGCCACCTCTGGCCCTTTACTCTTCTTTTGCTGACCTCATGCTTTATTCTATAAGTGCAGGTATTTCCCAGGTTCTAGCCTTCATCCTCATATGCTCTCTCTCTATGATCCCTTGGACCAGTTTCATTCATACACTCCGTTTCAGATGTCATCTCTACATTTCTGAACTTCAGACCTGATTTTTTATGACGGTTTCTTAGATGTCTCCCTCAGAACTCAATATGCTACAAATAGAATTCCTTGGGTCAGCAAAACTGCCCCCACTTCTGATTTTATTATTGTTGTGCACCCTTTTCTTAGTCTCTAGTGCTCAAAACGTTGATACTATCTTCTCCTCCTCCTTCTTCCTTACAACCTTTCATCTAATTGGCTCCCAATCCTCATTTCTTGTTTCTATTCCTTCCTTTTCATTCTGTGGACATTGCCTTGGTTCAAGCCTTCATTTGTTGTCTCTCAAACTAATGCAGAATTTCATACGTCCATGCATTCATCCCCTCACAACCCATCCCCTACATGCTGTTCTTATGCTATTATAGTTCAAATCTGCTTATCTAATTAATCAGCTTTCTATTACTCAATCATATCCGAACTTTTTTGGCTGGCATTTTAAGTTTCCATAGTTTGATCTCAAGTTATGTTTCTATTCTTCTCCCTTATAAATCCTCATCACATGCCCTATGCTTTTGTTGCTTTAGCTGATTTATGCCCTATATTTTTTTTGTCTTCATCCTTAAGATCCTTCCTTTAATAAGGATGATTCCTTGAGCTGGAATATTTTTCTTTACCCATATTCCATTTCCACTTGACAAAATCCTACTCCTCCTTCAAGGTGCAGCTTCAAAGATGTCTGTGCATCAGAGCTCCCCTGTGAGTTTATTTGTTTTCAACTAGAAGCAGCTTCTCACTCCTCTGAGCTCTCAGGGTACTATTTTTCTTTTCTTTTCTTTTCTTTTTTTTTTTTTTTCTCACTCTGTCGCCCAGGCTGGAGTGCAGTGGCGGATCTCTGCTCACTGCAAGCTCCGCCTCCCGGGTTCCTGCCATTCTCCTGCCTCAGCCTCCCAAGTAGCTGGGACTACAGGCGCCCGCCACCGCGCCTGGCTAATTTTTTGTATTTTTAGTAGAGACGGGGTTTCACTGTGGTCTCGATCTCCTGACCTTGTGATCCGCCCGCCTCGGCCTCCCAAAGTGCTGGGATTACAGGCGTGAGCCACCGCGCCCGGCTCAGGGTACTATTTTTCTATATTGCTCTTTGTAGATCTTTCCACAGGTTCAAAGAACCACTGATGATTTGAACTAAAATGTCTTAGAGACCATCTGGCCCATACCATTTTCTTTATGGATGAGGGCCAGAGTTAGGAAAAGACTCACCCAAAGTCACAGAGTGAATTCATTGCAGGATCGCAACGGAACAAAGGGGATGAGACCCTATATAAGTAGGGACACTTTCAGGGCAAGGCATGTAGCTTACTGACCACATCTGCACTGCCTTGCCCTGTTTCCCTGAGTCTCTGATTCCAAGCTAGTGTTTGGCAAAGGTTGACTGAATTGGGACAGAGCTCTGGATTGCTAAGAAATGAAATGGGAGGGCAACTGGGGCTTCTACCGGGCATGGGCTTGCCTGGACTGGCTGGGAATGGCTGTAGGTGCTCCAGGTGGTAGTTTTAGACCTACTGAGCATGGAGCGCTCTTGGAGAGGAAGACTTTAGGAACTGACATTCAGAAGTGCTACATGTTAATTTGTGCTCCCGATGGAGCAGCCTGCAAGGAATACCCACCTCTGGAGCTCTTTCTCTGATTACCTGGGAAAGAAAAAGAAAGATGCAATTGAAAGCCTGTGGTATCCTGAACAATACTTCAAGAAGTTAGCATCTCCTTGGCGCAGAAGAGATTTTTAAGTCAATATGCAACTAATAAAAATCTAATCTGTGGAAAGAAGGGACGGGATAAATGGATAAAGTAGGAAAGGGGCTCTGGTGTTTTAAAATGATTTAATTCTCTTTATTAAGTGGGCTAATAAGAAACAGTAATTAACTGGAGATTTCACAGAGCAAGGGGGTCATTTTACATAAGAACAGAGGCTAGAGATGGAAATAATTTGTCCATAACTATAGAAGAGTTGCTGGGTTAAATAGGTAAAACTTTGAGGGCTCAGATACCTGCCACTGTACAATACACTTGAAAACAAACTCAAATTCTTACTAAACTTAATTTAAATTAACTTCTTTAGAAAAGGATAAAGGCCTTTTTGAGGTTGGAAGCCACGAGATAAGAAAACAATTAAGTTGGATTTGGGGGTAGCAAAGAAGTTGCAATGAGCTCACTAGTCAGTCTATCATAAGGGTATACACTTGTCCCTCAATGTTTGTGGGGGGTTGGTTTCAGAATCCTTGCAGATACCAAAAATCTGAGGATGCCCAAATCCTTAAATGGCATAGTATTTGCAGATAACCTAGGCATGTCTTCCCCTATGCAGCACTCTAAATTGTCTCTGGAGTACTTGCGATACCTAAGACAATGAAAATGCTATGTAAGTAGTTGTTATACTGTACTTTTAAAAATTTGTATTGTCATTATTATTGTATTGTTATTTTTATCATTTTATTTTTCTCTAAATATTTTTGATCCACAGTTGGTTGAATCTGCTGATGTGGAACCTGCAGATATGGAGGCCTGGCTGCATGTACATCCTGGCTTTCTCAGACTTACTATACCTGGATCTATGCCAGGGATTCTCAATGTGGGTACTATTAACCTTTTGGGTGGGATCATTCTTTGTTGTGGGAGGCTGTCCTGTACTTTGTAGGATGTTTAGCAGCATCCAAGGCCCCTATCCACTGGACACCAGAGCCACTCCTCAGCCCTGCCAGTTGTGACAATAAAAATGTCTCCTGATACTGTCCCTGGGGGCAAAATTGCCCCTGGTTGATAACTACTGATCTGTTATAGTTTGCTGGATTTTGTTGAGAAGTAAGTGGTGAAAGCATATGATCAACTGAGATAGTTTCAATTAAAGGCCAGTTTGAGAAAGTCTAGGATAGATGGATTCATTTTTCATTGAAAATTTGCATGCTGCTCCACATACCATATTTTACTCTTGTTTTATTCAGACTTGGTAAATCTCACAATCCTTGTGTGCTACACTGAGAACAGAGGTAGAGCCTGTCTGTTCAGGTGTTCTGATTTGCCAAGACTCAGATGATGCTCTCTCTGACCCTAGCAGAATGGCAGCTTCTTAACCTTGTGTGATGGCTTAGTTACCAGTTTGGATGTGTTTGTGGATCCAGGGAAGCACTTTACTAAGGTCCGTGAAGATCCCAGGGGATCCTTGATCATTTTTCCTCACATTGTTTCTCCAGCCTCGACCACAGCCCAAACCCCAGGAAGTCACACCAGCCAGAGTCCAGGCCCCCTTTTTATTCCGGCACATGAGTGAACCTCCTGAATCTCCCTGCAGAGGGAAAAAGCCTCTGTTAGCACCACTGTCAGTGTCTATGCCCCAAAGTGCTCACTTTTTCCTCACAATGATGCTGGAGGAGGATCAATGTCATTTCTTCACTTCTAATAATTTAAACTCAGGGTCCTGTGTCTGAAGATCCCAGCACAATTCCCATATGATCCTCAAATATCACTGGAACCCAGCAATCCCACCTCCCTTTTCCTCATGGATGGCTTTCATCAAAGTAGCAGACTTTCTTCTTTCTCTTATCTCACGCTGCAGACTCAGAGAAGTCTTGGCCAGCAGTGAGACTGACTTCAGGCCTTGGTTAGTAGGAAGAATGGAGGCAAAGTGTAAAGTTTCCAACGTCCACAAACTGGAAACTTCTAAATAGAAAAGAGTCAGCCATCCTTCAGGAATGGGAGAACCCTGAGTTCATTCTTGGCATTATCTCTGTTATTTGGTCTTTTGGAAAAAGCAGAAGACTTCTTTTAAATCACACTTCCTGCTAAAAACAGATTGTTTCCACTGTCCCTTTATTTTGACCTAACCTCCCTTGGTACTCCTAACCCTTCTTTCCAGATTCCTGCCTTACCTGGGATCAGTCTTCCTGCAGCCTGATTAGGGAAATGGTTTGGATCTACCATTTTTCTCGTACTCTTAACTATTTGACCCCTATAGCTTCTTCAAGACTATTCTTTATTCTACCTCTCCAATATACTTTCTAATTAAATTAAATTTCACTGAAATTTAAGAAAACTAGAAGAAAACAAAACCAAGGGAAGCCTTGCCTGGGGCCTGACAGCCCCGCAGTTCCCACCCACCTGACATGCGTCTCTCCCTCCATCAGGAAAGCCTGTGCAAAGAAAGGTCTTCCCACTGATGGGCCTCTTTAGTGTTAACAGAGCTGCCACACACTCTTCCCAGGTCAAAATAGGCAGATTCACTTCCTGCAAGACTTGTGAGAGGACGCCATCTGAAAAACATAGAGATGGAAGCCCCAGCAGGAACTCTTTCACCCTTTCTGATTGAAGATGCATCATTTGTGTTTGTGTCACTTGGAAAGACTTGAATTTCTAAGTACAATGTGGCATTCTCTATCTTTAAAAATGTATGCACAATTGTCTTTAAAAAATTGATTAAAAATTCCATTTTCTGATTACCCATCAGAAAGTTCTGACCTCTGCCTAAGAGGAATGGCACACAAGTTCTTACCTTCAGTTAAGCGGCCCCAGCCTGCAGTTGTACAAGTAAAACCAGCCTTAAATTGCTCCTGCAGCTCTGGAAGACATATGGGTCCCACAAAATGGTCTGAAGAAAAGAGCAAGGTAGGGCTTGTCTTATTCATGGAGGAGAGGACACTATAAAGCCACTTACCAGTTGGTATCCAGGTGGTCCCCTAAAGACCTCATAAGAGTTGTGATAGCTTTGCCTGGCACCTCCAAGGGTTACTTGTCAGATCAAGAAAACCCTCTCCTGACTCCATGTAATGCTATCTCCAGAACCACAAGCAAAAAGAGTTTCAGGTAGGACCCCCAAGCCCAAATCCCTGTCTCAAAGTGCATGACCCAGAACATATACCGCAGAAAATGTGCTATGGCACAGAGGTTATAGAGAATTTGGGGTAGACAATTCAACACGATCCTCAAATGTTTACCAAATTGGAAGGCTCCAGCCATCTTTAAAAGGGCAATATCATAGTCCATTGGTTTCTTGGTGGAGAAATGTGGATGTATGATGACAGTTTCAATAGTGAGAGTTTGCTCTCCCGGCTCTATCTGGCTTAAGTCATATTCTCCAGCAGTAACATTCAAAGTTGACACAATGTTTCTATGGAAAGCAAACAGTAAAATGAATGAATTTCATTGTGCTTCTGAATACAGTTGCAATGGTTGACACACTGGCTTCTTTAAAATGATATGGATAAAAAATATGGGGTGTGAGGCTGCTGAGCAGAGAAAGTGAGAATAATTCCAGCACTGTTAGAAAAAAATTCAGAGATTCCAACTTCCAGTAGAGGACTAGTGAAGAGTGGGTTCATATAGAGCCAAGGATATGATGAATTTAATACTTTGCAATGTTATTTGAAAATATCTAGAGAGGCACATACATTGTAGTTCAGGTCTCTACAGCTATAGGGGAGTTTATTCAGCTACCCTGGGAGGTTGACCTGACCTAATATCAGTGAGATCCTTTTGGAATGATTTGTGATTCCCAGTAAGCATGCTACTTCAATGTCAGAGATCCTATGCTTAGTGTATATTATAAAGCACAGACTGTGTTATAACTAACTAATGTTATCTGAAAGGAACTTGGTGGGATGCATTAAGATAGATAGAGACTTCAGCCTGCCATCGTTTGAGACCCTTCATTCCCAGAAGTGATGCTTCTATACAAAATTGAAAAAGACATGTTTTCTCTGGGTATACTTCCCTGACTCTTGGCCAAATTAGGTACCTAACTTAACACATAATGTCTCTCTTACCTACCACTTGCCACATCGCTATGAGAACCACAAGCAAAAAGAGTTTCAGGTAGGACCCCCAAGCCCAAATCCCTGTCTCAAGGTGCATGACCCAGAACATATACCGCAGAAAATGTGCTATGGCACAGAGGTTATAGAGAATTTGGGGTAGACAATTCAACACGATCCTCAAATGTTTACCAAATTGGAAGGCTCCAGCCATCTTTAAAAGGGCAATATCATAGTCCATTGGTTTCTTGGTGGAGAAATGTGGATGTATGATGACAGTTTCAATAGTGAGAGTTTGCTCTCCCGGCTCTATCTGGCTTAAGTCATATTCTCCAGCAGTAACATTCAAAGTTGACACAATGTTTCTATGGAAAGCAAACAGTAAAATGAATGAATTTCATTGTGCTTCTGAATACAGTTGCAATGGTTGACACACTGGCTTCTTTAAAATGATATGGATAAAAAATATGGGGTGTGAGGCTGCTGAGCAGAGAAAGTGAGAATAATTCCAGCACTGTTAGAAAAAAA